CCTTCTTGACCCATACAATGCAGCAATAAGGCACATTTTCGCTTCTCCTCCGCGTTTTGCAAGTCAGTGGCACTCAGGAAAATTTCAAAAGATTGAATAAATTTTGGCCAAGTGTTGGCGGCATTAGTATTACCCACATGGAAATGTGGCGGCTTCAGATCCATCTTATTTTGGTTATTTTATTTTGAGCTTTTAAGTTCAATTACGCGACTGCGCCATGTACTGTGATGTAGTTCACTTTAATTATTATTTATAATAAACACAATTGCTGATTAACTTGATTTATTTAATTAGATGTTTTACAATGTTTACTGATTATGTTTATCTCGCAATCCCCAGCCAACCCGCTCTCTCAACAACAACACAACCTCACTTCTCTGTCATCTTTCAGTGGCTACGTTCCGTTGGCCAACCGGAACAGCTGTTCCAAAAGTCGAACAGGTTTGTTCGACTTACTAAACAACCTATCATACTACAGAAATTAACTTGCTAAAAGCGATGTTCAGTCGATTACCGGAATAAGCATTCCAAAATGTCGAGTGATTTTCCTGTAAATTCAGTGTTCTAACCCCACACAACGTGGTAAGTTTTTAATCCATCCAAAAGCGATCTTTATTTAAGAAAATATTTCTATTATGTTAGGGTCTTTTGTGGAGTTAACTTCTCTTTCCTTTGAAGACACAAATTGGCTGTTTTCGAGACTGCTCTTTTCTTCCAAGAAGAAAACCTTCACGTGTGTCCATGTTGGACCACCTTGACAATCCTGCTAGTTGCTAGTACAAAGTGGTGCAACAGGCAAACCGCCACGATTTCTTTTGAAGGGCGATTTGCCAAATCTACAGGCCTCCACTCGATCCGTCTCTGGAATTATCTCGCCGAACAAATGAAGCGTAATGGGTAACATTCCCTTTCAATACACTTAATTTAAAGTCCCCTTATTTACCTATTTTGAAATATGATAATCTAAATATGGAAGACTTAAAAATTCCTATTTAAAATTTAATTTGATTGATTGTAAAATTATAGTGCCTCATTCTTGACAATTGAGTGAGTGTATTTTCTATTCTTTTCTATTTAATTATTAAATTTTTAATATTTCATTTTTATTACTTGAATAGACTTCTAAATGCCGTTTATTGTAGATGTTCCCCTGGGAACCCTGAAATATGTGTAAGTATGTAAAGCGGTGGCCATAGAAAATTGATCAATTTTTTTTACCCTGTCCCATTATCATTTTTTTATTCTCTATGTTTTAAGTGTTTTTAGGTTTCATAAATTAAATGGTATCTGTTTCCAGTAAAATAGCTAATTAGGAAATCTGTTTTCGCTTAGCTTGGTAATAATTTTAAAAAAATTAAGCCTAGGCTTTATTTGTCAAGAATATGCCTATTGGCTTGATATTTTCTTATTGAGTAAATATTTTTTGTTAATGTAGATTTCAGAATTACTTTGAATTGTGCCGATGAATACTGCTATTGACTTGATATTTTCTTCTTGAGTAAATATACAGGGTGAGTTACTAAGCACGCGGTGATCCATATCTCCTATACTAACGGAGATCGAAGAAAAAACTAAATACAAAACTTGTAGATAAATATGCGTACTACATTCTTAAATTATTTTGCTGTATACAGGGTGGCCCAATAAGTAGTGGTGTTACAAAGCTATGTTTTTTTGAATGACTAACTCCCCTTGTATATTAGGCCATTTCTGAATTCTGCGGTAAATTCTAGACATATTTTATGTACAATGTCTGATGTCATATACCTATCTTCAACTGTTTCCGAAATATTGACAGTTGAAAATTAACTTTTTTGTATTTTTGACAGACTGTAAAACCTGAATGGTTAATTTTACAGCAAAACCGATTAAACATTCTTGTCTTAGTTTTTCATAAACTATCATTTGACACCAACATTGCATTTACCTCATGATTAAAAATTGCGCTTAAATTATTAATCTTGGGTTAAATTCAAAGTTGGTGTCAAATGATAGCTTATGAAAATCTATAACAGGAATGTAAAATCGGTTTTCCTCTAAAATTAACCGTTTAGGTTTTACAGCCTGTCAAAGTTGCAAAAAGTTAATTTTCAACTGTCAATATTTCCGAAATCGTTGAAAATAGGTATATGACATTGTACATAAAATATGTCTAGAATTTTCCACAGAATCCAGAAATGTCATAATATACAGGGGGAGTCATTTGAAAAAATATAACTTTGTATCACTACTACTCATTGGGCCACCCTGTATACTAGAAAATAATTCAGGAATGTAGTACTCATGTTTATTTACAAGTTTTGTATTTAGTTTTTTCTTCGATCTCCGTTAGTATAGGAGATATGGACCACCGCGTACTTAGTAACTCACCCTGTATATACAGGGTGTCACGAAAGGTTTGTTACAAACTTCTAGGGATGTTAGATCTCGTAAAAATAAAACTTTTTTTTTGATAAACATGTGTCCGGAAATGCTTCGTTTTCCAGATTTACAGGGTGGCCCAAATTTGATGACATCATCAGAGGGGGGATTCTCATCCTCTAGTCGCAACTTATCTTCCCGGCTCACTTGTAGAAAGGTAATGGGATAGTCGAGACGATAGGTTGCGACTAGAGGATGAGAATCCCCCATCAGGAAGATCTAATGGAGATTTGCATCATTTTAGGCATCCAGATGACGTCATAAAATTTATCAGCCAATCTACATCTACCTCTTTCAAACAACCTTGGTTTCAAACATTAAGGTTTTCAACCAATTAAATTCACTCTGGTTTGTGATTTCTATGGGAACAGACCTATTATGGTCTGTCTTTCTTTTTTTTTTTGTTAAGTGGTACTAAAACGGGGCTATAAAGTCGACAAAATTTGCATCTAGTGCTTTCTCCACTAACCTGTCCCAAAACTTTAGATGTGTACAGGGTGGCCCAAAATCGAGCCTCATCATTGTGATCTCGGTAACCGTAAGAGATACGGGGGTCGGTTAAATTATGGAAAAGTTGCGCAATTTTATGACCAATAGAACACCGTTTTGTAACTAGAAAGATTCCGAATACTTCCGGAGATATTCGGAAAAAACCAAAATTTTGTAAAATCGTTTTTATTTTTTCCCGGGCTTATTTGAAAAGCAATTTTAAAATAAATGTCACTTCATCATTGTCACTTATTCTCCTTTAGAAGATGGTGCTACTAAATTTAAAATTCGAAGTTTCGTCTTCAGGCGGCCATCCTCAACTTTTTGTTTTTAAATACGGACCTGGATTTTTTATTTGCGATTTTGTCATCTTTGCGCATCCTAAAACCGATACTGTTTATAATTTTTCAATACCACAGCAAAAAAAGCAGGTCCTTATTAAAAAAAAAAATGAATGATGATTTCGGAGGAACGGAACATTGGATTTTAAATTTAATACCGCCATCTTGTAGAGAAGAAAAAGTGACAATGGCAAGGTGAAATTAGTTTTCCACAATCTTTTTAAATAAAATCAGATACAAGATGGCAGTATTAAATTTGAAATCCGACGTTTTTCAAATACGGACCTGCTTTTTTACCGTGTTATTGAAAAATTATAAACAGTATCGGTTTTAGGATGCCCAAAGATGACAAAATCGCAAATAAAAAATCTAGGTTCGTATTTAAAAAACGTAAGTTAAGGATGGCCGCCTGAACACGAAACGTTGAATTTTAAATTTAGTACCACCATCTTCTAAAGGGGAAGAAGTGACAATGACGAAGTGACATTTATTTTAAAATTGCTTTTCAAATAAGCCCGGGGGAAAAAAAAAACGATTTTTCAAAATTTTGGTTTTTTCCGAATATCTCCGGAAGTATTCGGAATCTTTCTAGTTTCAAAACGGTATTCTATTGGTCATAAAATTGCGCAACTTTGCCCTAGTTTAACCGACCCCGTATCTCTTACGGTTACCGAGATCCCAATGATGAGGCTCAAATTTGAGCCACCCTGTATATCTGGAAAACGAAGCATTTCCGGACACATGTTTATTAAGAAAAAAGTTTTATTTTTACGAGATTTACCATCCCTAGAAGTTTGTAACAAACCTTTCGTGACACCCTGTATATATTTTTTTAATGTAGATTTCAGTCACTTAGAATTAATTAAACACTGTTTGATCAAAAATTTTATTTAGTTGTTTTTTTTGGTATCACCTGGGTTCCGAGTTGATTGAGTTATTTTGGTATGTTATTTTTTTTTTAGGATTATCATCTGAAGAACTTAATTACCTATCTTTATTATCTAATTTTATTTTTAGAATGTTTTAATGAATTTTAGCATTTTGATATTCCATCTAATTCCAATAATTTTTTTTTTTATACATAAAATTCAATGGCGTCCAAATCAGGCTGTATAAACAATTGACCCACACGTAATTATCTGCTGAGCTAACTGAGCATATTATGGCCCATAGTTGATTCATTAACGAAAGGCATTACAACCCACGAACTGATCACTCTTTCACTGAGACACTGGTTCAGGTCATGAAATCCGAACTGAACACGAAATAAACAACGATCAAGAGTGCACGAATCGTTATTTTTGTAATAAATTTTACCTCAGAACGCACACATTACCCAAATAGTCGCGCTAGACGTAAAAAACTCTAATAATTATGTACTATAAAGACACAGGGGTGCGTTAATAATGTAATACCTAAACAGGATATTACCATTCTTTTTTTATTATAGAAGGATTTTTGCAAATATATTTCAACTACGTATTGCTCAACTTAAAAAGAGATTAAAATTTATTGACTCATTTAACACTCCCAAAGTTACCTAACTCTTATCAAAAAAATTGTCCAACATTTTCTATTGATCAAACCCACACTATGGTTAAAATCAAACCAGAAATGAATGTGATAATTATGTGCATTCATTAAGTTTGATTCCTAGAGAACAAAATAAATAGACTATGTAGAATGAGTTCTGTAACCCCACACTCCAACTAGATATCGATATGTTAGGCTAGTAAATAAATCAATTACCTAATTCCTTTTCCATTTTTTCCACCTCTTTCTTCTTCAAAGTTTTTAGTGACTCGTGCTCTTCCAAAATCTTCATAGCTTTGTCAATTTCTTCCCTTTGCCTCGCCTCTTTGACTTTTGCTGTTTTCAAGTTGCCTTCTTGCTCAGCTACTATCCTCTCCCAGCGACTTACGTTGGTGTGAGTGTCGCGATTAGTTTCAAATTCGATATTGCTGCGAATGCGATCGATTTGCATTTGGCATTCGATACATTTTTGTTTTCTTGCTTGATGGTGGCGTAACTCGCGGCCTTCATATTGTCTGATGTTCTCCACTGCAATTTCCTTGCAAAAATTTGAGAAAACCTGATCTTCCACGTTGTTCATTTTTGCTTTGATATTTTCGATGTGCATCTCTCGTTTTTGCATATCTTGTTCGGTAGCTTCAATTTTAAGATCATATTTTCGAATCTCTCTAGCTAGATTCTCAATTTCATTTTCAAGTTTTTCAATTTGTGTTTGCTGCAACAACAACAAAAATTAAACGTTTTTAGAGGGTATGCAAATCGCGGTTATTTGGAAAAATAATTTTTCAATGAATATTTAGACTTTAGATGAGATGCGGAAATATCGGATTCTAATCACGTTTTAGCCCTGAATAGACAAGCATGAAGAATAATAGATCCTTAAAAATTATGTACTTACAGTTGTATTCATATCACCTTTGGCATAACTCAACCTTCTTTCCAAACCATTCACGTGAGACTGCACAGTAATAATTTCAGATTCTTTTCGTGTTTTTCTCATGGCATCTCTCAGTTCATTGGCGAGCTTTTCTTTTTGTTCTTGAAGGCTGGCTAAGTGTTTTTCATCCCATCTTTTAGCTTTACGAGCCAAATCCACAGTTCCTCCAGAAATAATTCCCGATTTTTGATAAAAAGTTCCATCAAGAGCGACTGCATTAAATCGACTTCCCAGTTCATATGCTACTTTATTGGCATCTTCTGGAAATTCGCATACTACGACATTATTGGTAGCGAACAAAACTGCATTTTTTATGTCGTGCGGTTCATATTGTAAAACGTCATACAGAAGTTTCACTCCCTTGGGTTCAGTAATATTACGCACACGATCTCGAATTGATGGTTTTATCAGCAAATAGTCCAATGGAAGGAATGTTTCTGGGTCCAACATTTGATCTTTTAAATATTGTATGCACCGACGTGCGGTACGTTCAGTATCCACTACAATAGCCTCCATATGTTTGCCCAAGACTTTGGTAATGGCCACATTGTAACGTGAGTAAGTGGGTTGACACATGTCGATCATGCGCCCATAAACCCCAGGATAATATGCCTTGAAATGATTGACGATTTCTTGCTTCTTTTTTTTTCTTCTATCGTCGTGTTCGTCAGTTTTAGCGTTACCTAATTGCTCTAAGACTTCATCTAGCTGCTTCTGAACCTCATCAACTTTATTTTTAGACGATCCTACATCTTGCTGAAGGTCTTTTAGTAATTTATTTTGATCATGCAAAGCTTGCTCGCTGGTGTGAATATGTTCCGCTAATTTATTCATCCTCTTGACCATTTCTTCTTTTTCGTGAGTTTTTTGCGAATGCTTATTCTCACCTTCTCTTCTCAATCTAGATATATTGTCTAGTGTATCCTGATCGGCTTTTTGGTCTCTACTGATAGACCCTAGCTCTTGCATATACATGGCTGTACGCCTAGTTGCTTCTTCTTTCAGTTTATGATATTGCCGGATTTGGGCTTCTTCTAAATGGATATCTATGCCCTAAAATTATAGAGACGTTCTAGTTTCAAAAAAAACTTTAAATGAAAACCTAACTAACCTGACTTTGAGATTCAGCGGCTAGCTGGTTGTCATACTCTTTTTGAGCTTCAACTAATTCTTCTTTGAGTTTCCGTATGTCTTTATTTTTGGCATCTTCAGCCTTTTTTGCTTCATCCAAAGTCTTGTAAGCTCCGTCAACTTTTTTTTGAAAATAAGCTACTTCTTCCTTTGCTTTCATAAACATGGGCTTCTTTTTATAAACTTCTACTTGGGCCTCACGAATATCCTGCTCAATTTTTGCCATATCTCTGAAAAATAAATAGGAAATTAATTTCAACATAAATTTTAATTTGAAAAGCCTTGCTTGAAACTTACCTGTTTAGTATACCAAAGTCCTTTTTTCTATCCTTCAAAATACCTTCAAACTTTTCCTTTTTTTGTTTTACTTTGTCTAATTCTGTTTGCTTAGATTTAAGCTCTTGCTTTCGGATTTTCATAAGTCGCTCAATGTGATATGCTTTAAATGATTGATGTTCAACCAATTTTTTATTCTAAAATAATACAATGAATAATGCATACATTACATTTTTAATTATAGAATTGTACTCACTAAATCGTCTTTAATTTTAGAATACTTATCGGCCTCCTCTTTTTCTACTACAGCTTGTCTGCGTTCAGCATTTAAACGTTTTTTCTTTTGCATTGCCAAATTAAACGCTTCTTGAGCTTCTTGCATTTTTTTCCTTAGTTTGTCATATTCCTCTTTTAATGTTACTGATCTAGAAAAATGATGATATTAATTTTTCCAAATATTGATTTCATATTTTTATTGCAAGCCCACCCGCTTATCTCTTCTATAAGTGCCGTCATCTCCTTAGGATTTTTCATTGCAATTGAGTCAACGGCTCCTTGAAAAACCAAGAAATTTTTACTTTTCACATTGATTTTGAGTTTTTCCAACTCAGTCGAATACTCGGGGGCAGAAACGACCTGAAAATAAATATATGTTTTTTTATTCCTACTCCAATGTTGGAGAGCGAGTTGAAATACAAGGGGTCTCAACGATCTTTGCTAAACTTATATTTTCTTCAATTAGCCCCTCTCAAAGACAAACGTAGTCATTGCCAAGGTGCATCCGGTTAACGGGAACTACCCCTCAATGTGATCAATTCAAGACAATTTTAGGTAACTTTTTTCAATATTTTCCTTCCTGTACATTCAATTTAACACAGTGGCTTGGCTGGCGTATTTCCAACAAAAAAATAAGATCGGTATTATAAACTGTCAACCGCTTATATTTTCATGTGCAGTGCATTTGATTATATAATTTCATGTAGCATGAACATCAAATATAATAAATACATAGTTGCCTAATAATACATACATACCGAATCATTAATTTTAAACACGGAGGAAGAGGCCTGGACAGATCTCTGAAATACCACTTCTTTTTCTGAATCGTCGCCTAAAGTGAACACGGCAGTTACTGATGCGCTAAAAATTTGAGAATTATTTTTGTATAATGTTCAAATTAGTAACATTTATCATGACTAACCTTTTGGAAGCAGGTCTGCCGATCACTGAACCGTGAATCAAGTCGCTCAATCGTTTTACTCTTAAGCTTTGCATTTTTTCTCCCATAACAAAACTGATGGCATCCATAAAATTGGATTTACCTAAAAAAGTTTAATTATAATATAACTAAATTTACGTGCGCTTCCGACAAAATCGGATAGCAGAATTCTAGATTTTAACAGTGATTTTTGGAAAAAAGGTCTATCGCGATTATTCTGGATTTTGCAAGAATAGATTACGGATATATAAAAGCCGGCCTAAGTTAGTAGTTTAAGTTTAAGTTTGGCTGTGATACGTTTTAGATAGTGATTATTGTAAAAGTTGTGAAGAGTTAAGCTGTTTGAGTCAATGGGATACTTGCATAAATTTTTTTTATCGCTAATTTCGTTAGTTGATAAAAAATAATTCAACACGTGTTTTTTTCTTTTTCTTCTTAGTCAAAAATTGACGGAGATACAACGCTATGAAATATGCCTATGACGTCACTTATCATATAAATAAGTGCTTAGTATATCTATACAGAGTGTCAATTTGAAAACTTCCCACCCCTATTATTTCGGAGTAGAAAAATTTTCAATAGTTATATAATAATAATACTTTTATTGTCAAAACCAAAAAAAAAAATAAAAATTACAATCAGTTTTTACATAATAATATTAAAATATACATATGGTTGACAATGGGCACTAGAAAAAAAACGCAGACATCTGAATGATTCAAATACTGTTCAGGCCCTATTTTAGATAAATAATTTGAAACCAAAGAACAGAAATAGAAGACAATTTTGTGCGTTCGATTTACATCTTATATGAAAAAAATTAAAGAATAAAAAACATACATAAGTAAACAGGAAGAGGAAAAGGAGAGGATTAGAATGACAATGGGAGAAGAATAAGGAAAAAACTAAAACATGGTTAACTTTCCACCAGAGAGCGAGACATCACTGATTTAGAAGCAAACGTGATTTAAAATGCTTTCCAAAAGTAGATGACGACCAGCGCCAATCAACAAAGTCCAGCGAGTTTATCAAAGTAGCTATATTATAAGAAAATGAACGTTTGTATTGTTCTTTTCGGTGCTGTGGTATTCGGATCACGTTTCTTCTTCTTAAATTTAAGTTGTGCACATCAGTGCGAAATGTAATTATTCTGTACAGGTATTGAGGGGATTTACTTTTGATTAATTGATAATAAAACTTACCCCGGTGCAACTTAAAACGATTGAACATATTGAGCCACCCGGACTCAGCCAAGTAGGGTGAAATATGATTTCTCCTTTTAACACCATAGATTAAACGTAAACAAGAGTTTTGCACTTTTTGAACTCTGTATCTATCAACCAGGGCCCCCGCTACCATAAGCGCAAAGGCGTGCGGTGCACGCGGGCGGCATAGCCTAGGGGCGGCAAATCACACGAGAAAAAATATGAATAAAAAAAATTGTAATTTATTTAATATTTTATAATTTAATTTTTTTCCTAAAGTTCTTCAATTATTTTCCTTTTTATTCAAAGACCAGGCACCTGATTCTCGAAACGCCCTCATCTGGGAAGAAGTGCCCTGTCCTGGCTGTCCTTCTCAGTTCCATGTGAAATCATATGACAAAGACTAAAAATGGAACCCTGCTCTGCGCCTTCGTGCGTCGTGCGTATCGAGCGAGAATCAGGCTGCAGGTCTTAGCTCCGTATAGCCAGTGGGCCAATTTTCCTGTTGGTTCTTTCAAACTTACTCTGGACTATTATTATTAATGTAGTTAGGAGTTTTTATAAAAAAACCTCTAAAAAACTAGTTAAGATCTACAATGTTACAAAAAAGGTTATCTGAATTAGTGATTTTGTCCATAGAATATGATCTTTTGGAGACTAAACTCTGTCTAACCAACGTTGAACGTTGAAGGTCACTTACTCGAATATATCACAGACGTTGCTTTTTGCTGCTGTCTTTATTGCACTCGCACTGTGTTTATCAAACCAAAAGGGTCCGAACGTGTGAATCCTATGGTTACAAGGATGAGTAAGTGACCTTCAAAGTTCAACTTTGGTTAGACAGAGTTTATCAATGTTGAAAATGTCTTGAAAGATTTTGAAAGAGTTAAAAGTAGTAGAAAAGTCAATTTTTTGTAATTTTTTTGGGGTTTTGCTGTGTAAATTCAGTACGAAGAAAGTTATATACAGAGTGGTCCATTGAAAAGTATCCACCTAGATTTACCGGTTTTTGTGAAATTTAAGAAAAAAATGCTCGGACACGTGTATTTTGTTTCGGAGGGGGAAATATTCTCTGCATATTTTTAGCCCTGTCACTTTCAACCCCTAACGGGGGTGGGCTCCAACCCCTTAATCTTTAATGGAAAGATGGGTCGAGTGATAGCTCGTTTGAAAGGGCACGAAATTAGCTTTCCAATGGTACCCTGTTTGTCGGATTTTCCTTCGACAGTTAACGCGAAAACGACGCTAAGAGCCTCACTCCTGTATTTTTGGAATCAATAAAATGAAGGACTTAAATTTCAGTTATCGCGATTCAAAAGAGCTACAATCATAATTCAAATTACTTATTTAAGTAAAAACTCATTGTTTCAACGCCAAAAAATATCCGCCCTATTTTAATACAAAAAGCCAAACACGACAAAATAGGTAAATTTAATGTTTTGTTATCTTTTATCAGAATTAAATGCATTCATTTATTGTGTGCGTTTTTTTTTGTAAAAATAAGTAAGCAGATACACACTTGGTAAATGAAGGAAAAGAATTTAGGTTTATTCCGTTCATTGATTTAGTTTGGTTGATTTCGAGACGATCTAAATTTTACTGACAAAAATGATTCATTCCATTGCAGAACGAGTGGAAATTATCAAGCTTTATTTTCAAAATAATAGTTGTGCTAGGCTTACTGCTCGTTTATTTAATGACGCTCATCCCAACGAAAATGTCAATCATTCGTATGTGGCGAAATTAGTGCAAAAGTTTACCGATACTGGATCTGTTGCTAATGTGAAACGCCAGCCGCAACACAACAGAAATGAAGCTGTGGAAGTAGCTGTTTTGGGACATGTGGCATTGGATCATACCCAAAGTACCCGTCAACTGGCTCAAGTCTCAGGTGTCCCCCGTTCGTCCCTATTAAGGATTTTAAAAGTGCACAAATTTCATCCATACAAAACTAGATTAGTAAAGGAACTTAATGAGGATGATCCTGATAGAAGGATGCAGTTTTGTGAAGAAATGAGTCAGCGTTTAATGCAAGAACCGGACTTATTATTTAACATTTGCTTCTCTGATGAGTGTACATTTTATTTAAATGGTACATTCAATAGACATAATTGCCGTTACTGGGATGATAGTAACCCACATTTATTCCGTGAGGCCCATACCCAACACCCTGAAAAAATAAACGTGTGGTGTGGCATCTTAGGAAATCATATTGTAGGACCACTTTTTATCCCTGGTAATTTAACTGGCGAAGTGTACCTAAACATGCTTGAGGATGCAATTGACCCTTTGATAACAGAAATAATAGAAGATGACCTAAATCATAATGTTGATCGGCTTCATTTCCAACAAGATGTAGCGCCTCCGCATTACGTTGCTGCTTTGTTTTATTGATTCCAAAAATACAGGGGTGAGGCTCTTAGCGTCGTTTTCGCATTAACTGTCGAAGTAAAATCCGACAAACAGGGTACCATTGGAAAGCTAATTTCGTGCCCTTTCAATCGAGCTATCACTCGACCCATCGTTCCATTAAAGATTAAGGGGTTGGAGCCCACCCCCGTTAGGGGTTGAAGGTTACAGGGCTAAAAATATGCAGAGAATATTTCCCCCTCCGAAACAAAATACACGTGTCCGAGCATTTTTTTCTTAAATTTCACAAAAACCGGTAAATCTAGGTGGATACTTTTCAATGGACCACTCTGTATATTATGTAGGTATGCATTTAGTTAATTTAGGTTGATCTGATCAGTTATTTACCTATCACCAAAGTATGTTTTCAGTTTAAGTTTTAGAAATTTTGAGGATCCTTTTGTTAATTTTTGTGATATTAGTTATTATGTTTCAATAAAAAAAGCTTGTATACCGTCAACCCTTACCAGGGGGCGCCAAAATATGAAATCGCACGCGGGCGGCTTTAGGTCTGGCGGGGGCCCTGCTATCAACAGCATCAAGACAAGGGCCATAAACACCACTACAGTGATTAAATTGTGAAAGGACCAAAGCCTCACTGAGTAGCTTTCTAATATCTTGGGAAAGGCAGTGTCTATTACTATAAATTACTTTAAGATTACTATAAGCAACCCTTAATTTTGAGATCACATGATCCTTGAAGCGCAATCTTGAATCCAACACTAAACCCAGAAACTTGCAGGAGTCAGAGTAAGGTACTGCTACATTATTCAGTTTAATCACCATATTACTTTTAACCCTACTTATTTGAGTATCGTTTCCAAATAATATTACCGACGATTTATTGGGGTTGAGTCTCAGTAAATGATCAGAAGCAGTGGCATAGAAACTATTTAAATCAGTATTGATTTTATCCTCAGAGTCAACCAGTTCATCATCGAGAAAAGAAAATAGTATTTGTGTATCGTCGGCATAAAAATGATAGCTACAATAAGTGAGTGAATTTAAAAAATTTGAAGTAAAAATTGTATACAACAAAGGGCCAAGGGCCAAGAATGCTACCCTGGGGTACACCCATTGCGAGGTTCAAGGGGTTAGAATAATTATAATTAACGACAACCTGTTGTACACGATCTGACAAAAAAGAACTTAGGAACTGGACCGAAGCATCACCAAAACCAATGAAGTGAAGAATTGAGACAAGTATTTCATGATTGAGAACATCAAAAGCCTTACTAAAATCCAGGAGTACCAAAGCACTGACCTTATTTTCATCCGATGCCCCAAAAATGTCGTCAGTAATATCAGCTAGTGCACTCTCACAGCTGTGATTTGGACGAAAACCTAACTGCTTGGGAGGCAAAATATTATATAAATTTAAATACTCTCGAATTTGTTTGTCCATGATTTTCTCGAGGAACTTGGAGAGTGTAGGAAGAATGCTTATAGAGCGCAATTGATCAAATTCAACAGGATTCTTGATTTTGGG